TAACAACTCTGAATTGTTCATCTTTGGTACAAATGTATACCAAGTTAAGTGAAATTCTAGGTTACCCTTGAACTGAGTTATTTCCATTGGCTGTTATAGTCATTTTGGTGTTACCTAAATCTGTTTCTTGCCCATGTACCCCCCGCCCCATTTTCAGAAGTCCCATTTGCAGACCTCAGTCACGCTCCTAGGAGAGAACTATGGAACAATGAGAGCTGTAATAGTGAGGGTGTTTCCTTATATGAGACTGGACTAACCTGTGCCTAGAAGAACTGGCTGAGTGGGGGGAAGGGAGAGAGAAGAAGATGAAGTCATACTTCAAAAAACTCTACTTGTATTAATCATGTCATATATCTGACTGAATTAGCTCAGATAATTCTATAAAACATAGTAAGTGGTGTGTTGTGGTGGACAGAGCTTTAGGTTTAGAGCCTGGGGACTTAGGTAAGAAAACTCACTTGATAAATGAGTTTAAATTTTAGTTAGCCACAAAGTAGCATACATCTGTCTTTTTTTTTAAACCCAACATCTGCAGGCTGTAAATATATATCTTAATGAACATATTTCTTCTAAATAGAAATATTTCACGAATTCCAATCAACTAGTTCTAAACATTCCATTTCTAAATATACATATTAACACCATCAATGTTAGGATATTAAACAATAAAATTAATGCATTTGATTTAATTTCAAAATTGTCACATTCAAGTAGAGGCCAATGTTTGAATACATTATTCAAACTCAGAAATGTATGTGTAGGTTTGTCCCATTGATGGGGCTCTGGTACATGAAGTGTTTAGAGGGATCCCAATTAAAATGTCCATGAATTTCTTGTTTAGGCTTCATAAAGAGAGGTTTTGTTTGGCTGCTGCAATGTGGAGTCATTAAATTAAATTTAAATTAAGCTTCCTTAGAATATTTCCATTCAAATTTCTCTAAAGCTTAAATCATAATTTCATGAAACAGATTTAATTTCCATTTGGTTGTATTTTGGGATTTGTACATTTTCCTTCCTCACTTCAATTTAACTACTTGCAAGGGAAAAACATGTACAAATACAGAAGTCCTAGAGACAATGAAATTCTATACTTGCATGAGGTCTTATCATTTAATCAACAAGCATTCATTGATGACTTTCTGAAGCTCCTAATTAAAATCCCACTTTCTACAATGACCCTTTCTGATTTCCCTTAATGCCAGTGCCTTACCTCTGACAATTGTCTCCCATGTAGGTAACTTGTTTGTACACAGTGGTTTACATGTTGTCTCTCCCATTAGGCTCTGAGCTCCTTGAGGGCAAGGATTGTCTTTTGCCTTTCCTTCTCAGTACTCCAGCATTTATTGATGTACCTGATATGTATCAGGCACTTAATAGATGCTTTTTTTTCATGACACAATCAGGGTTAAGTGACTAGCTCAAGATCATATAGCTAGTAAGTTTCAAGTATCTGAGGCTAAATTTGAATTCAGATCCTCCTGACTCCAAGGCTGGAGCTCTATCTACCGAGCCCCTTAGCTGCCCCCCTTAATAGATGCTTGTTGACTGACTGCCTACTATGTTCCAGGTACCAAGGCTATAAATAAAAGAATCATAGAAGTATAGCCAGAAGGAAATTTAGAAGCCAACTAGTCTAATTGCCATAATTTCTAGATTAAAGAAATGAGGTCCAGAGAAGTGACATGATATGACTTGTTAAAAGTCACACAGCTACTACATGACAGAGGTGGCATTTGAACTCAGATCCTAATCTCACTAATGGAATAAGTCACTTCTCATAAAGTGGGTCAGAAGCTTTTTTGAGATAAGTTTATGTTTTGAGAGTGTCATGTTACCTTTTAGAATGGTATCAGTAGGACTGAGTTGCTTGGGTATGGAGTGAGAGAAGAGTGGAGTGTTAGCACATCAAGGAAGATAGTGCAGCTAGGCTCAGCTCAGTACTTGGCACATAGTACTTCCTTAATAAATGTTTACTGACTGATTCACTGATTGAAGAAAGGGACTGGCTTGCATAAAGAGTCATGGAAACTGTACAAGCCATTCACCTAAAGGCATCTGGTAGTGCAGTGGATAGAGTGCTGAGCTTAGAGTCAAGAAGTCCCAAGTTCAGATCCAGACTCAACCACTAACTGTTTTGCCCTGGACAAGTCACTTTAACCTCTCTTAGCCTCAGTTTCCTCATCTTTAAAATGAGGATAATAAAGATTCATTCTCATTTCTTTCCTGCCTTCCTTGCCTTCATGTTTTCAGGGCTCAGCCATGGACTTAATTCATCATATGCCAAAATAAAATTTCTTAAAACTGGTAAAACTAAGGTCATAGATTACTTAAATCTGGAAGAGACCCTATTCCACCTGCTTCATTTTACAAATGAGAAAAATCAAGACTCCCTCCCCTCCAAAAAAAAGAAGCGACTTGCCCAACCAAGGTCCCCATATATAGTAAATGACAGAGGGAGAATTTAAAATCAGTCCCTCTAACTCCAAAGCCAACAGTCTTACCATTTACCGTGTTTGTGCTCCTCTGTATATCTAGGCATGTCATTCTCTTGCTTGAAAACTTTTATCTGCTCCCTTTAGTTTACAGAACAAAGTGGTAACTCTTGCATCTGGCATCAAAAGCCCTTCAAAATGTAGTTCCAACCATATCTTCCTAGCATTAGTACACATTCCTGCTTTTGATGCATTCTGTGTTCAAGCCACCTGGGCTACTTTTTTTTTTTAATAAACTCATCTTCCAGGGAGGGAGTTTGATGATGGAAGTACTGAGTAAGAAGATTGGAAATGGAGGAAGGTACCAGGTTGTAGACACAAGAGAAGAGAAAACTGAGGCCACAAAGATGATGGGACTTACTCAAGATCACAAAGTAGTAAGTTGGAAGACCTGAGATTTGAACTTAGATTCTCTGTCTCCAAATCAGCAATCTACATATGTATAGATGGAGGCAGTTCGTGGATGGAAGCAATGCTGGCTTTGGAATTGAAAGTTGCTTTCATTGCTGTTCAGTCTTTTCAGTCCTGTTCAATTCCCAGTGATCCCATTTGAGATTTTCTTGGCAAAGATACTGGGGTGGTTTGCCATTTCCTTCTCCAGCTCATTTTACAGATGAGGAAACTGTGGCAAACAGGTAAGTGACTTTCCCAGGGTAACATAGCTATTAGGTTTCTGAGGCCAGATTTGAACTCAGGAAGATAGTCTTTTGACTCTATCCACCACACCAAGAAGGTGTAGACAATTTTGTGTCTTTACAACTTCCTGTGTCTGTGTCCCTGGGCAAGTAACTTTACCTCTCTCAGCCTCAATTTCCTCTTCTGTGAGACAGCTGGGCAATATACAGACCTTTAAGGTTCCTTCCAGCTCTAAATTTTTGGTCCTAGTGATGTTGTGAGCCTATTAATGCTACTTGTGAGAATGGGCAACCAAAGGAAATATACTTAGTGCTGGAAGGGCTTTATATCAATCATTCAGTTAGGAACCATTTGTTAAAAGAAACTACTTAATAAATGCTTATTTACTTAACTTGATTCTGACTTTGTACCAGTCAGTAAGCAAGCACTGATACTACAAACAGCCCACCTACCTCCATTTTATTCAAGAGGAAACTGAAGTCAATTACCTAGGATCATGCAAATAAATAAATGTAAAAAAACCCAAAAACAACCCAGGATTTGAATCCAGATTGTCTGAATCTAAATCTAGCCCTGTCTATGTGCAGGATGGGGAGGTAATTTCAGATAATAGCAGGCAGAACTTCTCGCTCTGCAGTACCAAGGACAGCTAATGCCTTTAATAGCAGTTCATGTTATCCCAAAGTCCATTCTGAATTGTTATATTATTTTTGTTACTGTTGACATGTTGACTTCTAATCTAAGTTGGTGTGTGTGTGTGTGTGTGTGTGTGTGTGTGTGTGTGTGTGTGTGTGTGTGTGTGTGGGTTTGGGTGTGTGATTTACAGGTCTAGATACAGCAATGAGCCAATTAATTTGCAAAGCAAGCAGAATAAATGGTGACTAGAGACTATTAGTATACCACCCACCCTCTCTCTCCCCACCCTTTCCACAAACTTCCAGTTCAATTTAATCTCTTCAAGTTTGATTAGATATGTTCAAATCAGTTCATCTTGGTTAATTTATAAAAAAAGCATTGATTTAAATCTAAAAGGAAAACCTTATCTATCTCCACCCAAAAAAGTTTTTTTTTCTTCTTCCCCTTAGTTCATCATCTTACCAGTGCCAAAGATAACAGGAATGTACAATTTTTCAAGTATTTTAATTTACTTTTTTTTTTTGCTCTACTCTAAAGCAATTTGCCCTATGAATCCCAGTAAAATATTCTGGTCTTATGAAAATATTCAGATCTTCTGATCTAATATTATTGATCTCTGATCAAAAGCAGGATGTGAGACTCTAAAATTACAAGAAAAATAACCAAACTCTTGAAATGATTTGATCTTGTAAGAAACAGTGCAGGAAATACACATTCAAGAAAACTCAGATTCCTTAGTGTTGAAGCCACTTCCCAGGTACGAACTGGGTATTCTAAGAGACTAAGCTTTTAACTCTTCAAAGGAACTGGTAGTGGTAGTGGAGGGGGGAGAGTTGGAAATCCTTTATTATTATTTGCTAAATGCTGTCACAAGTACACACAACCTCATCATAGTTAGAAATTGCAAATAGGCTTCCCAAAGCTCCAAGCTTCTATCTAATCAGTGACTTAGTTAAGAAGAATAAGCCTTATGTGAGTCTAATGTGATAGAAAAAAATGGCCTAAAACCAAACATGTTTGCTGTTGTTGTTTTTTTGTTTGAACATTCCTCTGAAACCAATGATTTCTTTTTTAGCTTGAGAATGAATCTCTTCCATTTTTTATTGTAGGTGGGTGGTGGTGTTTCTGGTGCTATAACTGAAAGGAAATAACAAACTAAGAAGAAGAAAAAAAGAAATAAAATAAGCATGGTGCTGAAAGTAAGCATGTTCAGCAGTCATTGTGGTTTTAACTTACCCAGATGTGCTTTTCATGGGATGGAGAAGGATGGATGGAAAAGAAAAGCACACACATGTTAATGGATACATTTCAATCCAGAGAAAGCCAAGTGATAAAAAATAAGAGCATCATTTCAGATATGAGAACACCCCGTGGGTGACGGGTCTCTATTTTTCTGTGACACAAACCATAATCATATTGCCTCAACATTAGGCTGAGTGCCAGTTCTCATATCTGACAAATCAGCTAGTTTGCCATATGCATACTGTTAGCCAGTCAGAAACATGCAGAACCATATTTTTCCAGCACCTGCTACATCCTGAGAGGAAGTAAGGCTCTTTTGGAAATTATATTAACTCATTACAGCCACTCCAACACATTAGATTGTAAGCTTTTTGAGGGCAAGGATTTTCTTTTTCTTCTTTTTGTATCCTCAGCACAGTACCTGGCACATAGTAGGTGCTTAATAAAAGTTTATTGATTAGTTGATTGATTTAACCATCCAAAGAAATAGAGCCCAGAGTCTCAAAGTACAGGTTACAGTCTCAGTTTGCAAAAAGAGCACCTGTGCAGTATAGAGAGGTTGTTTGCTTTAGAGGAAAGAACACTGTATTAGAAATGAGAAGACAAGGGTTTTAGGTCTGGTTGGCCACTCACAAGCTGTATGACCTCAAGAAAGTCAATAAACCTTTCTGAGACTAAACTTTCTCAGGTGTGAAATAAAAGGGTTGAATTCAATGATCTCTGTGGTTCCTTTTACCTCTAAAATCCTCTAAGTGTTATGTGGTTTCAAACACAACCTTTGGTCCCTGGATGTAGCAGAGGGGCTGAGAAAATGTGACTGAAATTGGTTCAATTGTTATTTTAAAAAAAATTACAATGAACTGTGGACATTTTATAAAATTTTCACATGATGAGGTAAGAAATTCACTTCACTGTTTCATTTCCTAGTTAGCTACAAGAACTGCTAAAATACATTCTTGACTTATATTAACAAAGTGTGCCACTTGTTTCTATATCTTTCAGAAATCACTTGGGTTAGATTTTTTTCCCTTTTCCTTATCTGTCATACAGGAAAAGGGCAGAAGTAAAAGTGAAATGAACACACATTTCTCTTCTAAGGCATTCATTCAAAGAACATATTGTTTTTGTTTTTACCTTATGGTAAATCTGCCTTTTTGAAAATTCTAGGCTGAGCTCTAAAATTGCTATGGAAAACCTTTCAGACTCCCATATAAAAGCCCCGAGTAATATCATAAAAGAATTCACATCCTGAGATCCTAAGAAATTGCTTTGTTTTCACCTTGATAATACATTAACACACAAACGACAGAGGTAATGATGAGTCCAAAGGAAATTGCTTCCAGGTGGGTGAACCAGTTCACCAGCCCACCAGCCAATCAACCTCATATCCATGTGGTTGAGCCCAGAGGCAAAGCAGAGCTGCCAACAAAACTGTCCAAGGTGTCATTTGCCAGATGCCACCACCAACAATATGTCTTCCATAGCTTACCAGATGCATTGAGAAATTATTCTCCCATGAAATCCAGCCACAGTAAAGCAATATAGTCTTCCTAACCTCTACATTCACTAGTCCAAAACTTTATATAAGCAATCGACATGTGTTGGCAAAAGAGGAACAGGGGAAAATGTTCCACAATAGAAAATGCAAGCAAAAAAAAATAAAATGAACATAATTAAGATATAAACAAGCCAAAAGTAGCTTAGTGGAAAACTCTCCCAAATTTGGTGATATTCTTCAATTAACATTTCTCCCCTATATATCTGAATTACTCAACCCAAATTCCAGACTGAGAATGAACTGATACCTCAATTTAAAAATATATGGAAGTAATTTTTAATTTGCCAAATGAATTTTAAAGAGTATATCCTATCTCTGCATTGGATAGGATGGAATATTCATGAAGTGTTAACTTCGCACTTTGGAACATATTATAATTATCTTTTTCAAGGTGATTTTTTGTCATCGATGCAATATCCAAAAAAGAAAGAATAGAAAAAATAAAAGCTGCATTCTTAATCAGTTAGAAACATTTTTTTAAAAGTATGAGCTATTTTATTACAATGTCTTCTTACTTGAACATGAAGAAGTCAAGACTATGTCAATGGAGAGCTATATTTAATTAAAATAACATGGTAAGAACAGGTATTAAATGAGAAAAAGTATCATAATTTATTATTCATTTAAAGTCTTGTTACTAACATGAATATTTCCTTTAAGTACACTACAAAAATGAAATGCAAATTTAATGAATATCAAAGATTTTAGATATTCAAAATGGCAGTCTTATTTTGCCTCATTGGCTCCAATCCCTATTCAACAGATGGACTCTGTCTTTTTCCTAATCAAATCAATTTTGGTCCTAATAATCCTACAGGAGGACAATTTTATATATGAACTTCACTCTGGAATTATCTATTATTCATCTTTCTTTTTCTTAAAAATTGGGGAGTGACAATATATCCATTTTGTCTCAGCACTTGAAGTATATGAATGACTCAAAAGGCCAAGAGCTTGCTTTGTAGTTTTAACAACAACCAAAAGTTTTACTCTCAGAAATAGTTCATAAAGACTATTATGTGCTTTGCACAGCCAATTGCTATAAAATTGTATATACTATCATTTCAAATGACATTTTTTTATGGGGAGTGCATTCATTTGCATATAGGTATAGACACACAACACACATACATACAGACATAGTCAAATACATCATTTTAGACTTGACATTTGCTCTAGCTTCAATTTGATTAAAAAAAGGGAGAAACATATTTAGAGTACAGCATAGAGAGAAAGTGTTTCAAAAATATATATAATTGGTTATGCTCATCACTCTTCTAAGACTGTGAGACTAAGTTGTCTCTACTAATTAAAGAGACAAAAATGAGCTTAATAATGATATTCCCTTTGGTAGTTCTTTTTAATTGCTATTATTATCTATGTTTCATCTACTTTCAACTACTGAGACTCCTAACCTAGTCATATATGACTACTTCAGAGACTTTAATTCAAAAGAACAAAAGGAGATTGGAGGATAGTTCTATAAGCCAGAATTCTCTAAAAAGATTATCAAGCACATTTAGAAAAAAATATTTTTTCTTTCACAATTTTGGAATGTAAATATCAATTACCTTTAAAAGCTCAATTAAGTTCTTTAATTATTTTTTCTCCATGTCCTTTTTCTTTTTTAAAATAATATTTTATTTTCCCCCAATTACATATAAACAATTTTAACATTCTTTTTTTTAAGTTTTGAGTTCCAAATCCTATCACTCCCTCTCTCCTCTCCCCCCTTCTATGTTTTTTTTCTTTTTTTGTAAAATATAAGATAGGTATAAAATTGCATGTTTGTATTTGGGCATAATTTATTATTAAATATTTATATTTATATTAAAATTTTAAAATTATTGTTCTGAATGATTAAGCATTTGAAATAATTGTAATGAAATTTTATGAGCCAGGAGAAACAGTGACTGAAGATATCTTAAAATTACTTTTCTCTATTAAAAAAGTTACATAGGCATGATAAATAGGCTTCTAAATAAAGCTCAGGAAGTTTTAAGCTTCTTAGCTCTTCTGTTATGAAGCTATTAAACACAAACAAATAGCATAGGTGGGATATGAAGTGGAAAGGGAAATACAACTCATGGATTTGCTGATCATTCTTCCTTGCTTTCGCTATTAGTGTGACAAAGATGAACATTTTTGATGTATATTTCTTTAAGACACCTATTAACTGCTAGTCACTCTCAAGTGCTTAATTAACTTCGGAAATATTTTATGAGAGTGATTATTCTCACTTTAAGTTAATGATAATGAAGAATCACGTCTGAATATAAAAGAAAAATCTTTAAAAGTCTCAGGATTCCCAAAGTTAGAATGAGCATATAGTAAAACCTCATTGATTCAGATGAGTTAGACAGAGGCAAAGATAAATTAAAGGACTTCTAAGATTTTTTTCCCAACTATGAAATCATGTAATTATAGAATTTATTTTTGAAAAGTTTCACTTACTGAGAGAAATGGTTACTAATAACCAGTGATTTGAGGTAATCCAGAGGTTCCCCTTTTTTCTATAGCTCTCATTTCAAAATTCAGTCTCTTGAAGGACATAAGTGATAATGAGATTAAATTAACTCTTCCTCAATCTTGGTCAACCCCCTCCCAATTTTATAAGGAATTTAATCTAAAGTGAAACTCCCAGACCATTGTCTTCTTCTCAGCCTTGGGTGGGAGATACAGATTCCTGGTCTAGATTTCCCCAAGGCTAAGGAAAATTTGGAAGTAAATGACATAATCAAAGTTAATAGGTCCACCTCTCATTGTAATAATTCTCTAATTGTTAACCAATCAGAACTGATTGCTACCCTCTGGTACATCCACTCTTCCAAAGGCATATAAACTGTGAGCCCACTTCCAAACGGGCTCTTTGGCATTGGAGAATGTCACTGACCACTTTTATTAAAACACTAGCATTATTATAAGAAAATGACTAATTACCCAGAAATTATGTCTCTCTAACTTTTTAAATGTCACAGTACATAATATTAAGGAAACACATGTTTATTGCTTTCAAAAGTTTTTTTGGAAGAAAATTCATTCTACAGGAAACTTGTTTTAAAGGGAAAAAATAGTGATAATTTAAATTAGCATAAGAATTTTGTGTAAACGAGTTTAAGGCAGCTTCTGAGGATGCATACTAGTTCTTTTGTGTTATCTTAAGCAGTTCAAATACTCAATTCAGATAAATACTTTTTAAGTTTCTCCTACTGTTAGGCCCTGAGATAAAAAAGATACAAAATAGTTAAGTCTGGCCCTCCTATAGTTTACATTCTATTTGGCTGGGGGAGGGATATAAGATGTAAAGGAGTAATTATAATACAAGGTAAATCAGAAAGATAGTATCTTTTTGTTATTAAATAGTAGAGCAAACTCTGCTTTATAACTGGAACCTTTAGCCAGTCTTGTCTGGATCACTAATTATGATTTAGTGTAGTCTGAATCA